ATAGCCAATTAGAAGGGTAGAGCTAACATCATCTTGTATAAAGCTTGGAGGCAAGCAAAACACCTGTACACATAAAATTTCTGAGAAAATCTTTAAAAAGAAAAGAGTAAGTCACTGATCACGGACATTCTTAGTCTATTACCTTGGAACATTATGTTTAATGGTTTATCCTTCAAAATTTTGTCATTAAAAAAATTAACATTACCCAGGCATTGGTAGTGCAGACCTTTAATCCCAGCACTCTCGAGGTAGAGGCAAGCGGATCTCTTGAAGTCAGTCATTACAGAGTGCATTCTAGGACAGCCAGGGCTACACAGAGAAACCTTGTCTCAAGAAAATCAAAGCCAAACCAAACCAACCCCCCAAACAAATGAAAATCAACATTAGGATGCTGCATACAGTATTTTGTGTATTTGCAGAAGCATTTCCCTGTGTCCTTACTTCGTTTCTATTTTCCCTTAGTGAACATGTCAGCATAGCCCTTCATTAGGCTGAAGCCCATGTTACTTATACCTATCAACTAGATTTTTGAAGAAAAACCAAATATTAGATATGACCCTGATGATCATGTTCATAAAAACTAGATTCTAGAACATCTAAGCAACATGCGGATGTGTAAACTAAGTGAGTCTCATTTCTTTTTTTCTTTCTTTTTTTTTTTTTTTGGTTTTTTTTTTTTAAGATAAAGTCTCATTATGTAGCCTGGCTGGCCTGGAGCTTTCTATGTAGGCCAGGCTAATTTAGAACTCACGAGAGACCTGCTTGCCTCTGCCTTTGAGTGCTGGGATTAAAGGAGTTTCTAAGACCAGTGGTTTTTCACCCGTGTAGAAGTGGACCGCGATCCGATCCGGCTAGCTAGAAGTGAATGGCTTTTGGAACTCGTCTTTGCACGAAGTCCAATTAGTTTTGCAGCCTTGGCCTCCCTCTTGAAGTGGGGGACAGTATCCTTGCCAGCACCATCCAGGTCAAACCTCCTCAGAGGCTTTGCTCAGGATGATGTTAGCTCTGCCCTTATACATGGCAATTCTTCGCTTCCACCCCTAAAGACCGGATAGGTGGTCCTTCACAGCCATTAATTTACAGAATGGTCTGCCTACCTTTTAAGGCCAGGAGGGGCTCTGGCCATTTCGAGCCTCACATCTGAAAAGCAGGAGCCCCTCTTCCCTAATTCTTCACCGCAGCCTTCTAATCAGGCCCCTCCCAACAGGATTCGAACTTGTCTTATTTTGTCTATTGGTTGCTTTCTTGAGTCTGGGAGGCTGCTGTCCTCCCCAAGCCCGGCATTCGATGCGTTCTATCAACTCAAGGGAAACAGCGGAGGAGAAACAGCATTAGAGACCTACGATGGCTGTGGCCCGCACGGAAGGAACCGCCGGTGGCCGCGAGGAGCACAGCCTGGGGCGGGGGCGGAGTAAGGGCGTGATCCGGGCGGAGCTCCTCGGAGGGGCGGGGCTTGGGCGGGCCAGAGGCGGGGCTTCGGGACTGCTGCAGAGCCCGCCTGACCACGCCGACCCGGCAGCGCCCAGAGCGAGCGCCCGCCCGCGCCCGCCCGGCCTCCGCCCAGTGCCGCCGATAGGGGGCGTCCGCGCTCTCGGCGCCGCGACTCCGCTGAGAAGGCGCCGCCCGCGCCGGGCAGCAGGAGCCGCAACTCCGAGCGCCGGCTCAGTCGTCCCCGCCGCTGCTGCTGCTGTTGCTGCTGCTGCTGCCGCCGCCGCCGGGCGCAGGCTCGCTCGTCCCCGCGCTCGCGCTCTCGGGCCGCCGGCGTCTCCCGGCCGGGTCGCCGTTGCGCTCGCGCAGTGAGTGGGGCGGGAGCCGGGCCTGTGGGGCCGGGGCTGCGGGGAAGTCGGGCTGAGGCGGACGGCGGGTGGCGGGCGCGCGTCCCGGGGCTGGCACGAGCTCGCGGCCGGGCCTGGGCGGGGGACTCCGGGGACGCGCGGCCCGGCGCCGCGGGCTCCGGCTCAGGTTCGGGGCTCGGTGCGCGTGGCCGGCCGGGCTTGGCTTGCGGGCGACCGAGGAGTGCGGCCAGGCCCGGGACCCGCGGGTTCTGCGGGGAAAGGATTGTTCTTTGGGGAGTGGTGCTTTTTGGCCGCCACTGTCCTAGTTTTAAAGCCTTGCCTTTGGGGTTTTCTGCACAGATTGCAGCTTTCTGCTGGGGTTTTGGGATGTCAGGGCGTTTTAGTGCTGGGTGTCAAAGGTGACCCATGGTGTGGTCGTGAGGAGCCCCTGCAGCACCTGCTGGGCTGTGGCAGAGGAGGCTGTGCCTGGGGTGGGACGGAGAAACGAAACGTGACTGAGATCCTGTTTGGATATTCTGCTGAAGTTGTCGCGTTTCTGTCCAGTACAGCAGTTCACATAGCAAGTTGATAAACCCAGTTGTAGTATTCGGTGATGCAAGGTGTTTGCCGCACAAGTAGACCTGGGGTGATGTGGCTTGGCTGAGAATGTTTGGGATATCCCAAGCATCTGTCTCCAGCGTATCTCCTTGGCTGGCTCATCTTTTTCTCTATTCTAGTATGGGAATAATGTTGCGGTATCACAGGCCTGATACCGAGAAGTGTTTTCAAAAGAGCACAGGTCCAGGTGGGCAGGTAGGTAGGCTGGGAGAATAGCCCTTGAAAACCAGGTGCCCGCACGCTTTTTTAGTTGTGATGCCTTAGATTGAAAGAAAGCCATAGATGATGGCATCAATAAGGTTTGTGGTTCGAATTCTCTTAAAGCATATTGAGCGGAAACACTATCACATAAAGCAATCTTATGGTCATTCGTATGTATCTTTTGATGTGTCTTGGATTTTTATAGCTGGGGTCTATTTTAAATGGAACACATATATTTGTGTTCTGCTTATCTTGGAGACAACCCTGAGTCATGCTTTCTAGAAGTTCCGAGAGCTCACGTGTCTGTTCTGTCAGTGCTGGGACATCTTTACGTTTAGTACTTCCTATTGTAGTCGCTGTGGGAACTCCTGGGACGTGCACAGGCTGCCTTTCACCTCCATGTTTGCCCACTGTGCCCGACTTTACCGCTTAAATTTTGTTGATGCTTCCAGGAGTAAAGGGCCATTTATCAGGTTCTTACTTACTCTCTTCTGGAAGGCCGCACAGTGACTTCAGAACTCCGTTCCTTTTCACTGCCCGTCAGCCCGTTTTACCTATGCTGTGTTTACTTTTGCGAAGGCCATAATAGCCCATTTTAGTGGAAACTGAGGGAAAGTGGAATTTCATGTTTGTTTGTTTGTTTTTAATTTGACTCTGACAACAATTTCGCTGGAGAGTGTGTATGCTTCTGATTTGATACTTTAGAAATTTCCTAACTTCTTGTAAAAGTCTTTCTACTTTTCTGCCTTCATCTCCTTTCTTCTAGCCCACATGGTTGAGAGAGAGGGAGGAAGAGAAAAAAATCCATCTCTGGTTTAGTTGTTGGTAATTTAGCTTTATAATCCCATTATCCTTGTGTGCCTGGCTGCTTGTGCTGGCCTGCATGTGGACTTTAACTCAGACGACTCCTTTAGATGCCACTGAACCAAGTGCTATAAAAAGTATTTCACTTTCAAACTCCCACGTTTCCCAGAACAGAGAAAGTGAGTACAAAGGCAATTTGGAAGGTAAGTATAGGTGGAGAAAATTCACTGAGTCTTCTTTTTGGGATAGCAGGCACAAGGGTCTCAGTAGGAAAAAAAAAAAAAGCTACCCAGAACCCCTGGGAAGGAAGTGATTGCCGTTGTCTCATTCATTACTCCTTCAAATTTGGAGGTTTCCATTACAGCATATAGACTGTTGCGTGGGAGAAGGACTTTTGCTCTGGGGGCGTCCCAGTCTACAGCAGCAGTGAGTCTAGAATATTGTGTTAATGTATTGTAGCCCCTAAAGCAGCTTTGCTATGATAAGAAAGATACCACTGAGGGTTCTCACATGCTTTTAAGTTGTTAGCTTACTGAATTGTGCATTCTTCGGATTCGCTAGGTCAGTAAGTTCATAATTTCTTTCAGGCTTCTAGGAATTCTTCAGGATTTGTTTTTCGCAACTCCCTGCTAGCCTGCCGTCAGAGTTCCACACTAGTTATAACCTTTGAAGCCTAAGCGTGGGACCTCAGCGTTGCCGTAGAGTCTTTGGGACGTGGATTTATTTGTATTAAAGGTCAGATATTTTCAGGTGAACTGATTTTGCAAAGTCAGAAAGCCTTTCTTTGAACCTTATAGTTATTGTTTGGTTGTGGTCACTGCCCTAAAAGTGATCTTTAGCGAGGGAAATACCTTTAAAGGAATTTTATGAGAAATGTCTCACAGATTTTATGAAAAAGTATTCCTTTATTTACCCCTCAAGTAAAACAGACCTGTTTGATGCCCCACTTGAAGGCCTTCTGTTGCCTGGCTTGTGATTATTTAAACTTCTCATTAAGTCCTCCACTGGATGGTGCCGGATGGGAGAGAAGATGAAAAGGAAATGAATTGTTAGCACCCCTGGGAAAGGGTTCACTGGAAGAGACCGAAGCTGTTCTGTGAGGTCTTGGGTTGTGTTTTATTGCGTCTACGTCTGAGGTGTCCCTGATAGTCATCAGTTCAGAACGCGACTGTTGGAGAAGCAAGAATCTTGCCCCTCCCTGTTTCTCTAGATTTTTGTAGAGATGCTATGCTGTAGCAGGTGTTTACAAGCAAGGTGAGGAGATCAACTTTAGATGAATCAAGATTGCCTTTTATTGCTCGTTGAGTTTAGTAGTGAACAATTTATTATTACTGTTTTTTTAGGTAGCTTAGTTATATTGGAAGTGACTAGTAGTGACTGTCTCATTTTATTTTCGTGTATCTTACATACAAGTATAAGGCCTTGAGGTGCTTTTTAAGAGACCTGGGCTTAGATCACGGAGCTAGCTCCTTAGTAAAGGCACACATCATGGCATGAGGGGCCCAGCCTCTAACTCCCACACACAAAGGGAGGGACGGAGGGAGGGAAGGAGGGAGAGAGGGAGGGAAGGAGGGAGAGAGGGAGGGAGAGAGGGAAGAAGGAAGGGATGGAGGAAGGAAGGAAGGAAGGAAGGAAGGTAGGTACATAGGTTTCCATGACCGCTTTTCTAAATTATTAAGCTTGAGGTTCGTTATATGTTTGTAGCCAGACCTTGACTTTTGCTATGGAAGAGATTCGAAACGTCTAATTTTTTTTTTTTTTTGCTTGTTTTAATGTTTGCACAAGAAGTTATCTTGTTTTGATGTAGAAGTGAAGACATAAATATGCAAGGTTAGTCCTGGCATATAGCGGTGGCGTTGCTGTCTGGTGATTTTCTTCCGGCTTTGGGCTTCCATTCTTCATTAGCCATTTGTATGTTCCTGAACTGGAATTCTTCCTGTCGCCTGATATGGGACAGCAGCCATTAGTAACTAATGAGCAGGGTCTTGCCATTTTTATTTAGTGGTAGAAATTCTTTTATGACTCATTATGACTAGTTAATTAGCCTAAGTTTTTGTGAGGTTGTAAATAAAGCGCCAGTTGGATGGGGTTAATAGCTGGCTATGGGGAGTATAAAGTTGATGCTTTTCAGTTTGTTGTTTGGATTTTGTCCTTTGAATTTCTACTCTAGGAGGTGCTTTTGGAAAAATCTTGACCAGGAGTCAGAAAACACAAGTTCTTGTCCAGGCATCCCTGCCTCTCTATTGTATAACTGAACAGGGGTGTGCTCATGAGCAGAAAGACTGCTATATTGGCTTGATTCTGGAATCCCTGCTCAGGTTGGGCACATTGTCTTCCGGTGTTCACCCAGGAGCCCTTCTCTGAAGCCCGACATTTTCCCAGTTGGAGTCTAGGTCTCTTCCTCCTGAGGTCTCCCCCAGTCTGTTCTGTTAATGGCAGTTTGGGATTATATTGTGACTTTATCTGTTGCGCATTGCCTCCCTTTGTGGACCGGAAGCTCCACGAGGTCAGGGTTCACTATCGTATTCCTGTGTATCCGTATTTCACGTGGGCTCCCCTGCCCTGTGATACTGGACCTAAAATAAGTTTGGTTGAGTGATTATTGAGGCCGTGGGGAAAGAGTACTTTGAGTTTTGGGAAATGCCCTTTAACTCACTGCATCATGGATTTGTTGTTATCGGTAATGAAGTCAAAAATTGCTAAAGCTCGTGTCTTCCGTTTACATCAGATGGGGTGTGGAGTGAGTCAAGAGAGAAAAGGTAAAAGGCCTCTGGTGTTACTTTTGTTCCGTCTCTCTATAGTACGCTGAAGGCTGACCGTCTGTACCCTATGGCTGAGAGTAAAGAATGATGGCCGCACGCACTCCTCGGGTCCACATTTTAGCTTGTTTGCTTTGAAGAATTTGTAAAGGTAGAGAACTAGCTTCTGCCGGCTCTGATTTCAGCCCCTGCTGTGCTATGCAAATGCTCTCGACAAGCCTGAGTGACCTTTTGAGAAAGAGCCTTTGTGATCTTTTGTAGCCAGGGCTTGTTCTTGTCCTGGAAATGGGGACCAGATTCCACTAAAGTGGAAAAATGGGCCTTCAAAGGCCACATACAAAGCTGGTTCTTTTCCGGGGAAAGGACCCGTAGGTATGTCCGTGTTTCTTGGCATCTCTGCTAGTGATTTTGAAATTGGCTCTGCAGTTTGCTTTGCAGGTTGATTTGGAGAATAGAGTGAGTGAGAGGGAACTGACGAAGGCAGTTAAGTCGCTGGAGAACTGTGGCATGTTCTTGAATAGGAGGAAAAAGCAGATTGAAGCTGGCTTCATTAGTACATGGGCCTTTGCCAGTGACCTAAGACTGGCTCTCCATGGTGCTGCCTGAGTGACCTCAGCCAGGTCTGTGAGGCTCTTTTTGTACCAAATTGTGCCTTACCAGTTTGACATTTGAATTGCTTCTGTTTGTTTTGATTAATGTACAAAGAGAAATACTTCATTATTAAACCTGATTGGTTTTTTTACACTATAAGGTAATAATATTGTTTTTTTTTTCTCTTGGAAAGTGACCATTACTTTTGAAGCCCATGATTTTTTTTTAAAGCATTTTAGTTTTTTCTTAAATATTTATTTATTTATTTATTATGTATACAATATTCTGTCTGTGTGTATGCCTGCTGGCCAGAAGAGGGCACTAGACCCCATTACAGATGGTTGTGAGCCACCATGTGGTTGCTGGGAATTGAACTCAGGACCTTTGGAAGAGCAGGCAATGCTCTTAACCTCTGAGCCATCTCTCCAGCCCTGAAGCCCATGATTTTAAATGCTTTCTCAGATACTTAGTTTATACAGCTGGTATGCTGATCCAAAGGAATTTCCCCTTTCTCCCTCAAGTGACCTTTTTGATGTAGAGCATCTTTTTGTTTTGTTTTGTTTTGTTTTGTTTTTTCGAGACAGGGTTTCTCTTTGGCTTTGGAGCCTGTCCTGGAACTAGCTCTTGTCGACCAGGCTGGTTTCAAACTCACAGAGATCCGCCTGCCTCTGCCTCCTGAGTGCTGAGATTAAAGGCGTGCGCCACCACCGCCCGGCTGATGTAGAGCATCTTATAGGTCAGAATCAATGTAAGGTTATAGACCTAATCATAATGTTCTCTGAAAATCTAAATATTACATTTTTAGAAAATAGTGGCAGAATTGGTCAGATTTTTTTATTACTTGTGGTTGTGACTGTGTATATGGAGGTCAGAGGACAAAGGTCAGAGGGCAACTTGTGGAAGTAAGTTTCTTTTCTCTTTCCACCATGAGGGAGGGTCCTGGGATCAAAGTCAGGTTTTCAGGTAAGCTGCTTTACCTACTGGGTTGTCTTGCCAGCCCAGAGTGACAGACTCTTCCCTCCTTCTCCAAGTAGTCTAGTCCTTTGTGCCCAGTGGGCTCCAGGGGTAAGAACAAGCATGGCATGGCTTTCTTCCTCACAGTTTTGCCCTGATGTAGGTTCCAACGGGCCATGTGTGAGCGGTCCTTGTGAGGTCTGAGCTACTGCATTGGGCAGAATAGCTCTTATTCTCCATTGTCATGGTTACGTGCTTGTCTTCTTCCTCCAGAGTCTTCCTGGTTCCTGGGCTCCTGACGGACTGGTGCTGGAGCAGATGGATAATGGAGACTGGGGCTATATGGTGAGTGGTCCTTGCTGCGCTTGGAAGGCTGGCGAGTCATTTGGACGACTTTCTCTGCATGGTCATAGGCTTATCTTACAAGGATGAAACTGTGAATTTGTGCAGCTCCATCCACTTTGTGTGGATGTGTTTGGAGTGTGGATCTTTATTTGGTTTGACGTTTTAGTGAAAGACTCAGTACATATTCTCCAAATAACTTAACATTTTTATTTCATATTATTTATTTTAATTATGTGTGGGTGAAGCGGTGAGTGCAGTGTTCTTAGGGGCCAGAAGAGGGCGGGCATATGGTCCCTGGAGATGCTGTGGGCCACCCAGACATGGTTACTGGAAGTGGAACTCAGTTCCACTATAGTCATACATTGCTTTTAACTCCTGACATATCTCTGCCCACCTAGTAGCTATTTATAACCACGAACGTCAGGTAGACCATGATGTTTTGGTCTATGGGGTATGTTTAAATTCTCTGTTCATAGAATGGAACGTCCAAAGGGCCCGGGGAGAATGGAGTGGAGGATGCTTTGTTGTAGTAAAGGAGTTAATAGGTAGAAGGGTTTTCTTCTCACGTGTAGTTTTCACATGTGTCCATGTCTGCCTGTTTTCTTCCTCATCAGGTAAGAAATACTTTGCTTTCTTAGAACCTGAAGACTGTCTTTGTCTTTTTTTTTTTTTTTCCTTAAATAGGATTTCTAAGGCTGGGGTGTGTTATTTTGAGAAGCTTCCTTCTCAGAATTAAAGGTCAGATTGCAGCATTAATGTTACTAAAGTGAATATACAATCAGACTATGACATTTGAAGCTGCTATTAGCCCTTGGGTATGTGGTAGTTTGGGGCTAGAACATAGGCTAGATTGTGTCCACAAACCTTCTATTTCTTAGTTTAGTGTTAGGAACTTATTTCCTGGGCATGGTGGTGCAGGCCTGTAATGTCAACAACACTTGGGAGGTAGACGCAGAAGGTTTGTGCATTTTTGACTTGCTTTATCTACGTAGTAAGATGCTGTCTCAACAACAATAAAAAGAAAAACCAGAAAGGAAAAGGGAATTGTTGCTTCCATAAAAAAAAAATTACTAAGATTAATTCTAAATAAATTTTTGTCTTTAAGATACATTTTGGGACTGGGGGGTGGTGGCACACACCTTTAGTCCCACCACTTGGGAGGCAAAGGCTGGTGAATCTCTGTGAGTTTGAGGCCAGCCTGGTCTACAGACTGAGTTCAAGGACAACCAGGACTGTTACACAGAGAAACCCTTTCTCGGGGGCGGGGGGCAGAGGGAGGATGCATTTTGTAGTTGGAGAGACGGCTCAGCAGTTAAGAACACTTCTGCTCGTGCAGAGGACCTGGGTTTGGTTCCTAGCATCCAGCCTAAGAGTCACAATCACCTGTAACTCCAATCCCTAGGCAATCCATACCCTTGGCTTACATGAGGCACACATACATACATGCTGGCAAAACACGCACACACATAAGTACATACATATATTTCACTCTGGGTGTGATGATGCACTCCTGAGATCTTAGCACTGGGGAGAGGCAGGAGGATCAGGAATTCTAGACCATTCGTAGCTACATAGTGAATATGAGGCCAGTCGAAGTTATGTGAAACTTTGTCTCAAAAAAAAAAAATTACATCTCATGACTCCTTTGAGGAGAAAATCCCAAAGTTCATTATTGCTACACTCTCAGATTACTTTTATTCTAGCTTCCGTTAAATTTAAAAAAGCTGAAGGTCTTGTCAAGTGAGGTGGCACCCACCTTTAATCCCACTAGGGGAGGTAGAGGCAGGCAGACCTGACTCAGAATCTCTTTAGATTCTGGACTTGACTCTATGACACTAAAGGTCACACCCAGCAGGAGTGGAGTAACTTTTAAAAGATTGGATTTATTTGATTTGAAAACAAATGTTGAAGGCCTTCTCCTGGTGAGTTATTATTGAAAGTAAGACCATTTCCTCCCTAGAACTGCCAAATACATTACAGCGGAAAGGGGTCTTATACTGGCTGATCGGTATTGATCTTGTTAATTTGTCGAAGTTGCGATTTTATGGTTTCAGGTGACTGTTTCTTTGATTTCAGATGACTGACCCAGTCACGTTGAATGTAGGCGGACACTTGTACACGACGTCCCTTACCACATTGACACGTTACCCAGATTCCATGCTTGGAGCTATGTTTGGGGGGGACTTCCCCACAGCCCGAGACCCGCAAGGCAATTACTTCATCGATCGAGATGGACCTCTTTTCCGCTATGTCCTCAACTTCTTACGAACTTCAGAATTGACCCTGCCCCTGGATTTTAAGGAATTTGATCTTCTTCGGAAAGAAGCTGACTTTTACCAGATTGAACCCTTGATTCAGTGTCTCAATGACCCTAAGCCTTTGTATCCTATGGATACTTTTGAAGAAGTTGTAGAGCTGTCTAGTACTCGGAAGCTTTCTAAATATTCCAATCCTGTGGCCGTCATCATAACCCAGTTAACCATCACCACCAAGGTCCATTCCTTACTAGAAGGCATCTCAAATTATTTCACCAAGTGGAATAAGCACATGATGGACACCAGAGACTGCCAGGTTTCCTTCACCTTTGGACCATGCGATTATCACCAGGAAGTTTCTCTCCGGGTCCACCTGATGGAATACATTACAAAGCAAGGTTTCACAATCCGCAATACTCGGGTGCATCACATGAGCGAGCGGGCCAATGAGAACACGGTAGAGCACAACTGGACTTTCTGTAGACTGGCCCGGAAAACAGATGACTGATTGCCAGTGCTGGGGAGGACTTCCTGTAAGCTCACGTTTGTCTGGGGACGTGGAAGAGACTGTTCTTGTTTTCTAAATCATAGTGTACCCCCTTTTTAATATTTGTATTTATTTGAAGGCCTCGAGGACCAGAAGGAAGTTCCGTGTGTGAGCAGCCTTCTTGTTTTGTTCCAAATATGCATGTGCCTGTTCAGAGTCTCCAGAAACCTTTTTTATAAAAAGAGAGCTGAAAATCATTATGATATATAATCTATCCTTAACAATGCTAAAATGATTTTTGGTAACGTGGTCCCTAACTCAACTGGAAGGCTAAAAATACAGTAATGAAAGATTAAGCAGAGTATTCATGTCTTTGAGGAAAATCAGAATATCATGTAGGGTGACCTCGATTCCAGACCAATAGGCAGTAGTGTATTAAAGGAAGACTGGCCAATCATCTGCCGATCCTTGTAAGGACTGTTTCTTTCTATGCATATAAATCAAGCAACCAAATATCTGTAGCCATTGAAATGTCTGACTAGAAATATTTATATTGGATTCTCAATACAAAATATCCCTGTGGTAAAAACCTTATGCCTGGTACAGTTTCATTCCCAAGTGTACTGTCTACCAGGAAAGAAAAATCTAATAAAAAATGGAGTATGAACATTAAGGGTTGTATTTATTGCTATATAAGGGGAAAGTCATATTCTCTATCAGAAGTATGCATTGCTTGTGTCTCAGACTGCTTATAGCACATTTGTGATGGAGTTGCCAGAACTCAGTGGAGCCTTAGATTTTAGTTCATAAAGCCAGCTGTGCCATCAGAGGTAAGCAGTTTTGTCTAAAGAGTGCAAAGCCATGTTCAGATCGGATTTTCAGGGAATATTACAGGGTTTTCAACTGCCACAGCTATGACTATGACTCACTCCAGCTTCTGTGGCATGTGGGGGACAAAATGACTCTAGCCACCTTACTCTTATGTATTGTGGTAGCCACAAAGGTATGTTTTTGTCGGATGTAAGTTCAACTCCGAGAAGGATAAGTTGCAGTGAAATAGAAAATGTATGTACATTTGCTTATTTCATTGTTGTCTTGTTTCAGAGTTGATAGGATTCTGTTGCTTGAAAGTTTCTCATAGGAAGGAGTGTGTTAACTACAGTGAGACTTTCTAGTTTGTGAGCATCGGATAAAAAACGTCCCTGCTTTAAGGGAACAGTGGACTTCTGTGGTGTTGGCCCTATGGCAGACGAAACACTCTTTTCCTCTTCTCTTGAGACTATTCCAAAATTCTCCCTTTGAAAGGAAGATTAAAATATTTACTTATATATCTCTTTGAAAATTTAAGATTTGACAAATTACACATACACACACACACACACATACACAAGAAACCCATAATTATCTCATCTTCAAACAAGGATTCTTCAATATTATTGACAGGTTGCTGTAGTTTCATTGTATTGATGGACAGGTGAGAACAGGCTACTGTTAGAAACATTGGCTTCTGTTGTAAATTGATCTGTAGTTTCCTAATAAAGACCCAGATCAGTCCTGTGCTATGGAGCTAGCTGAAGCCAACATGAAGAAAGATGATTTGGGTTCAGAACTCTCGTGGAGGGCTTTTAGTTAAGAGCACTTGTTGCTCTTGCATAGGAATTTGGTACCCAACACCTATGTCACCAGCTCACAGCTGCCTGTAACGCCAGCTCTAGGCAGATCTGACACCACTGGCTTACACACACACACACACACACACACACACACACACACACACTTACACTTAAAATATATATATATATATAAAAGTTGTGGAAGTAGGAGTAATACTAGTTTTAAGTTTAGGAAAAAGGAAAACTTCTGAATTTTCTTCCTTGTCCCCATTCTCCCTAAAGGGAAGATTGCTTTTGGCAAATTTTCTCTGGTTTACTAATTATTAGTAGGTAAATGATTGCTTATTTAAATAAAAGCAGCCAGCAGGATTTTTAAGGCTTGTTTGTTTTTTTCCCTCACTCCTGGGGATCGACCTGGGTATTATTCATGTTAGGTAAGTGCTTGTCACTTAGCTGAAGTCCATGCTGTAACTGTTTTATGTTGTTGTGGAGTTGAAAATGAAATGAAAAACATCATTTGGGGGACCGGAGAGATGGCTCAGAGGTTAAGAGCACTGGCTGCTCTTCCAGAGGTTATGGGTTCAATTCCCAGCAACCATATGGTGGCTCACAACCATCTCTAATGAGATCTGGTGTCCTCTTCTGGCCTGCAAGCATACATATGGACAGAATTTGTATACATAATAAATAAATCATTCAAAAAAAAAAAGAAAAATGTAGTTTGGTTATATTTGGATATATTGAGACAATTCTGTCTCTTTATAAAATTTTAAATCATTTTTACTTTTAAAAAATGATACGTTACATTCTGAGCCTTTATATTTTATTTAGATTATAGCACATCCAAGTACCTTTGAAGGGCTGCTTGTGTGTCTTTGTAAACCTGAGGGTAAATGCTAAAGGTAAGTTGTGGACCATGAGGTAGCTCCGTGGTAGAATGCCTGCTGACATCCCTCAGACTGGTCGATCCTGGTACACCCTAGATAAATACACCACACAAATAGCAGCTAATGTGTTTATTGGCTTTTGCTACACTTAAAGCAAAGTTCCAGCATTTAACCAAATATATGCTATAAACGGACAAAGGGAAACTTCAAACATACTCAAAAGTAGAATAAAGTGATGAGCATTTCATTCACGTACCAACTTACTAAGCAATTTGAAGAACTAGTCACTCCACCCTTTGCTTTGACTTTAATTCTTGGTCTGTATATGCTGTGCCACCATGATGCTTCTTGATCCTGAGTACTGTTGGCTTTTCACAGCTTGGATCTCCAGCTTTGTAGCAGTGGTCGGATATATTTCTCATAGGCAGGGTTTTTCTGTGTTTATAGGAATCACATTATTAGAAGAATACTTCTAGAATTAATGGCTTCACTTTAAAAGAGTAGCATTACCTAAGATCCTGTTTTGTTTTGTTTTTCGAGACAGGGTTTCCCTGTAGAACAGCTTTGGCTGTCCCGGAACTCACTTTGTAATTTGTAAACCAAGATGGCTTTGAATTTACAGAAATCTGCCTGTTTCTGCCTCCCAAGTGATGAGATTACAGGCATGTGTCACTACCACCTTTCAGTTACCTAAGATTCTTAATTTTTAAAATTACTTTTAAAGTTCGTTTTGTGTGAACATATGGTAAACACTTTTCCAACAAGTCTCCTTTCTTAGGCAGATTTTAAACCGCATGCAGGTGGCTGATTAAGAGAAAAGTCTACAGCTTATTTATTTTTTTCAGAATTGAATACAAATGTAATCCTTCACTTTTTGAGACTCTTTGAAATTTTGAACACGAACCATAAAGCAAGCAACCAGAAAGTTGAATCAGGTAGGCAATATTCTGTGTCCAGATCAGCTTTTCCATCATTCTCTAGTGCCATGTCTGAGTTCTTTTCTTCATAGCTAAACTCTAGTCTTCCATACTATTTTAATTTCTTTTACAGTAAAACTATAAAGTTCTGGGGACTGGAGAGATGGCTTAGAGGTCAAGAGCACTGGCTGTTCTTCCAGAGATGCTAAGTTTAATTTCCAGCAACCACATGGTGGCTTATAACCATCTATAATGAGATCTGGTGCCTTCTTTTGTCATGCAGTCCTACATGCAGAATACTGTATACATAATAAATAAATCTTAAGCAAAAAAAAGCCTATAAAGTCCTAACATAGGTTTACACCCTGTTCTTCACTGTTTCTCCAATCCCAGCACACCGCCATTGCACAGTAATTGTTCTTTGAATGAATGAACTATTCCTTGGGCATATCTTTACAATATAGTTATTGAGAGAATAGAACGGGGTGCGATGATGTACACACGTAATCCTGGCATTTGGGAGGTAGGAGCTGAAGGCCAGCCTGGCCACACAAGGCCCTGAGAGACAAGCACTAAAAAGGGGGGGGTTCCTGATCTAAATTAACCCGTGATCATTCCTTCTTGCTTCCATTGGGAATGGCTTGGATGTGATTTCATGGGGCTGGGGGGATCTTCTGTGGCAGTTTTCTAGATCAGTCAGCCCAAAGCAGACATCACAGAGTACACCAGGGTAGCGTGTCATCCTGATAGGAGAAGTCTCAAGCACAACCTGCTGCAGACAGGAGAGACTCCTGTGGAGCTAAGAGGTGCAGCCTAGCACATAGCACTTTACTTCCGGCATGAGAACACTGTACATATATTCTCATTTGTACTTTTGTGTCCGCAGGGCATGTTTCAGTATAGCTGCTGTTTTAACTTATTTAAAATACCCGCAATGTGCCTTTTTCTATTAAAATGTCTGCTGCACTTCAGAACTATTACAGATAAAAAAAAAAAAAGAGAGAGAGAGACTTTAAAAATGTTGAAGCTTTTCAAAGGAGTTGAAAGTATAAGATCACGTGGCTGTATGTTACCGGTCCACCAGCTATCGTTTTGACCCCCTTTCCTAAACTTCCCTGTGTGAAAAGACCACACCTGTGACTTAACAAGGTCACATACGGCCGGTTGATGAGTGTCTGTCACGACTGCTTTCGTATCGTTCTTAGGTCCTAAGAAGCTCTATCCTTGGTCAAGTAGAAGGAAGTAGAGACAGAAGAACAGTTTGAAGTATGTCAGCATTTTACAGAATCAGAGAGATGACGGGTCAGTCACGTCTCGTTTCTACAAACCTGCTATGGTTTCCAGATTAAAGTGTTTAAGAATGAAGAAAGACAAGATGGCCCACTACAGTCTTCAGTGATCCTGAGGAATCTAGGGGAGTGGAATATTTTCTGTGTCTCGGCATTTGCCGACTGGTGCACAGGGAGAGGTGCGGCAGCTCTATGGAGCACCAAAGGACGCAGGTCTCTCTCGAGACCATGGAAGCAGGCTGTTTTGGGAAGGACTGCTTTGCTTTTATGCCAGGATTTAAACTTGAGCAAGGACAGAGAAATGATCATTAGATAAGTAACATATTAGAAGCAGGTTAACCATAGGAACAGTGACTAGGAAAATTAGTTATATTTCCTTGAGCTAAAACCAGGTCATCTTGTGGATGGCTCTTGACTGAAGTGGGCTGACCTGTCTGGCAGCCATTCTGGAGGTTATGACTTTAGATGATCGTGGGAAGCTCAGCTCTGATGTGTGGCAGGATACATCCTGCCAAGAGCAAGTCTAATAACACCTGTAAAGTATGCGTGCAAGCCCAAGTGTTGGCCACTGCATTGTAAGATGCCTTCCTGAAGGGGGACTAAAGAGAAAGTTTCACCACCTGAAAAACATGTTTATAAAGTCTAATACGCCCAACACTGTGAAACGCCTTGTGTGTGCCTATAGATAGATGCGTCCTTTGTTGGGGTTGTCCTTGTCAAATCTGCTCTTTACTACAGGCTCCCTAAATTCAAAGTACAGTCCTTTGAATTCTTAACTTTGCCCAGTGAGGCTGGGATAACTGGAATTCTCGTCTTCCCTCTGAGGACAGTCTTGCTATCACCCCCCCTTATAATATATGTGCCTTCCTGCCCACCTAAGACAGTACCTCAAATCACCTCTGGGTCTACATAGGATGGAGCTAAAAAGCTGAAAGTAAGATGGTTTACCACTGCTATGATTTATCTT